ATAATAATAATAATAATAATAATAATAATAATAATAATAATAATAATAATAATTAATGATAATAATAATAATAATAATAATAATTAATAATAATAATAATAATAATAATTAATAATAATAGTAATAATAATAATTAATAGCAATAATAATAATTAATAATGATAATCAGCATAATTATATAATAAAATCGATATTGTTCCACATTATTCACATTTGGAATAATCATTAATGAAATATCGCTATAAAAACTTTTTTGTCCATACTTTTTCTCTCATGTTCATAATCTCTTTGCTCATTTCAATTGGCTAATAAAAATTAGTATAAGAATATTTAATATCATTAATTATTATGCTACAATGGTAGAGATCAAGTAAATGACCTGCAATAGTTTGGTAATGGTAAACGCGTTCTTTCGCTGCGGAAAGCGGTGATGTATAATTAAAATATAAACTTTAAAGTGATGTAAAATATTTAAAGATTTTTAGATTTAAATTAAATAATGCTTATATACTATAACTTATACATATATATTTATATTTATAAATATACATATATGTATAAGTGCATTAAAAAAATCGTATTAAATATTTTGGCATTACTTAATTATATTTACTTATTTAATTATTATAAAGTATATAATCGAAACTTAACTTTGAATAAAAGAACATCCATTTGGTGGAAGAACTTTGAAATAAAAAAAAAAAAAAAAAAAAAAAAAAAGAAAAATATCTTTTAAAATCTCGTATCATACATAGAATAACGTACATAACAATTGCGTATATGAGTTAAAAGGCACAAGGTATGTTCAATGGGAGCTTTTCAAAAATTACGATTATCATCCTAACACTTATTCCAAATATATATTGTCGTCTCCGTCCTCCCTTTGAACTTCCCTTTCTCTTCTAACCAACAGTCTCCAAGTATAAAAGTATGCGCTTTCCGAAGCGAAAAACACGCAATTCGACTTCATCACAAGAAATCGAGGCGTAAACACTACTATGCAACCTTGGCCATATAAATGTTCTTAATATCGAACGACAAAAATACGTTGCGTTCAATATATTACCGCAATCCAGCGTTGTCCACAAGAAATAAATCTCCATAATTCGGTTTGATTCGGTTTGGTTGACGTTTACATCGAAGAATTTCGTGGGCATTAAGAAGAAGAAGTTTGTCTTAAAAAAGCTTCGCAATTTTGATCGTGAAAAATACTTATTGGCAACACGAAGGAATTTGCAGGAAACATTTAAAAAGACGAGTTTACATAAAATCGTACGATAATATTTTTAGTCTTTTAACGATTTTTTTGAGTTTTACGATCTATCACGTTCACAACGCTGTTCATTCGTTTCGTTTTTTTTTTTTTTCCCGCAACGTCGATGTCCTCGTATATATTTTGCCGATAAAAAAAAAAAAAAAAAAAAATCAACGTCAAACGAGAAGTCTCGATATATCACCATTGATCATATATATATAATACACTTCACCAATTTATACAATTCCGAACCAGTAGTCCCTTTGCGCGAGTTTACTTGAAATGAAAACGTAGATCGGCGATCTTCGATACTTTCAAATACATTCGATTACGTCGTAGTGGATATTCCTTCCATTGATTCGATCGATCTTGAGAGGAGATGTGTCGGGTGGATCGGCTCGTTTCACAGTTTGGCATTAAACAAGAGAACAATTTACGGTGCAACGTCGTGACCGTCCCTTGTTCTTGGTTGCAGTTCTCTAGGATCGTCACACCTTGTTGTGATGCCTCATCTCGTAGGCTGAGGCCCTCCCCCCTCCCCCGGAGCCCGAATAGGCGCCTGCGTACAATTCGGGATGGTTGGACCGGGCGTAGTTGGGTGCTGCGCTGCTACTGGGTGGCGCACTAGCTGTGGGAACCGAGCGATAGCCTGCTTACAATTTAGAAAAGTAATTGAATGTAAAAAAAAAAAAGAGAAATATCGAAGCGAATGAAACAACCAATGTACCGAGATGTACTATATTAGTCACTGTCGACTACATTGAACGGTGAAATGTGGAGTAATATCTATTTATTAATCATGCACTCCAGTCTTTTAATCATCAACCAACGATACTTCTACTCAATCAAATTTGTCATCCAAAAGCCATATTTCTATTTCTCAAAGATACGATTGAAATGATTATGCGAAAAATACGATGCGAAAGCGGAATAAATACTGTATATTACTTCGACATTTAACGATCGAATGAAATTTTAACGATGGCTTTCGTCGAATGGTTATAGAAGAGAGATAGGAGCAAATGCAAGAATGTCGCGGCTGGTAACGATTGGTAAAGAATATTAAATGAAATTTCTATTCGTGGATTTGCTTCTATCAAGGGTATAGAGTGTATAGGCCCCAGCTCACCTCTGTAGGTCATAGAACGATAGTATCAGGTAGTGATGCGCATCAATCAATGCGAGGAAGATGCAAACAGGAAAAAACATTGATATAGTTGCAGATCACACAGGGACAGATACATAAAAGCAAGCTTCTTAGCTTGAGTTTAATCCATATTTTACCACCTAATATACAAACGTACGATATTTTTACATTTTAACGAGCAACATTTATTCAGGATCAAACTCGAGCAACGATAGCTGCATTAAAAAAAGCGACCAAAGTATTAGGTGAATTTACCTTTCGGATAATACTGAGCACCTCTACCCTCTCCATAACCGTGAGAGGGTCCCCTAGTACCATGTCCTCCTTGACCTTGTCTGGGAGGTATACTTCTGGGACCTGCTCCACCTCCGTGTGGATGTCGCTATGAAATTTATTATTTTAAATTAAACGAACGATTAATTAAACTAAATTAAAATAGTTTTATTTATATTTTATCGTTTCCCCTTCTCTTTTATTTCATTTTATATACCATTCTTCTCAAAGTATTCATCGGTCTTCTTAGAGTATCGCTAATACGTCTGGCCGGTGGTTTCTTAGGATTACTCGATGGAGTGTGAACAGCGCAGCACTTGATGAACAAACCCATGAAAATAATGAAAGCTATTCCCATCAATACTGCCGCCCACCAAAATTCCTGAAAAAAAAAAAAATAATCTTATTATTATATCGATATTATTGTTCTACATTCAAATTAATACTTACGGTTATCCATTGTGCTACCGTACGCAATGTATCCTTATTGAATAAAAGATTTTTCAATCTGGCTAATGGTCCTTCTGCGTCAACGGCTCTACACTTCAAAAATACATCACAATACCCCTAAACAAAAAGAAAAAAAAAAAAAAAAATAAAGAAAAGGAAAGTATCAAATTATTAATCGGTTACAAATAAACGATACATTTTTATACGATACGTTATATTAAATTAGAGCTTCTTTACTTGAAAATTATCGCAGGGTGATCCAGGTCTGAGGCTAATTCCACCTTCGGGTAGACCGACTACATGCGCAAATTCGCTGGTGCTACGGCAGGTGGATGGATCGGTTCCATTTTGACAGGCTAATTCGCACAATTTACGTTTATCGATGTTTGGAATTACGTTACTGGTTAAAAAGCACTCGGTCAAGTTCCATTCGAGGCAAATCGATCCCGTACACTCGCCGTTGATGCACAACTGTAAGGAAACAAAATTATCGTTATATGAGACAAGAAAGAGAGAGCAAAAAGAAAAATAAAAGACGATCCATGGAATGATAGTACAAAAGAAAGTACTCCCTTTTTACCTGAGTTCCCTCGTTACATCTAGTCTTATTGGCTCTTGGCAACGGCGGAGGACACTCGGAGGATCGCCCGTTACAAGTCGAATTGTAACTGCAATCCGATTCAGCCTTGCATTGAACGTTTTTGGAGAGGGGAACGAACTGGCACGACTCGCTCGAACAACAAGGCCCTTGGCTTGGACTGTACAATAGAAATGACACGTCAGATTCATAGTTCAATTTATATAATATTTTACACATATACAATTCCACGAACTTGATCCATACCTGCATTGCGTTCCGGATTTTCTGGTACAACCCTTCGCCGTGTCGTTCTTCATTTTATCCAAATCTGATATCTGCCTCGGATAACAACACTTATCCACGCATTCATTATCGTCGTACCCGCAATCGCACTCTTCCCCAGCTTCCACTATCTTATTACCGCAGAAAGCTCCGGCAGAGGCTGTTACAAAAATAAATGGGACAATAAAATCCGCCAATGACGTGTTTCAAGAAATATTAATACACGCGTACAACACACCAGTGAAACAATTTTTCTTCTTCTTATCTTCTATGGCGTCCAGCACGTTACTGATATTCCCAATACTGCATTTCGAAAATTTGCTGTTGTTCGGCCGGTCTCCGCTCGTCGCCGACGCAAACATGATGTAATTTCCATGGAGACCACCTGGTCTACACTCGGGTGGGAAATCGTGCTGCAACGAAAACGAAAAAGTGATAAAGAAATAAGAAAAAATGACGAAAAGTTAGTTTTTATTTAATAAATACTTACAGGGGATCCAAAATTGTGCCCTATCTCGTGAGCCAACGTCAGCTGCGACACTTTCGGAGGCACTCTGCTGTTGTAATTGACGAAAGTGATGATCCCAGTGTTCAAAGATCTCTTGGTAGACTGGTACATCCCCCCAACCGTTTCCGTATACGTTTTGTATCTCTCGCAAATGCCACCGGATGCGCCAGATGCGGATGCTACCCAGGCAAGACCAAGAGTACCGCCAGTAAAATCTCTGTTAATAATATAGCTGTGGTGAATCTGTATTCCGAGTATGTTGAGTATCGTATGTATATTTCAAAGACGCCATTCTTTTCTCGTACCTGTAGGTGAACACGTACGCGAGGCAGAAATCCTCGTGGTTGCCGAGCGAATGCAAATTTAAAAAGTTACTGACGTCGATGTTCTCCATGCAGAAAGGATTTGGCTCGCCGTACGTTTGTTGGGGAGTGCACGCCGTGTCGTCGTCGATCTGCGGTGGTCAAAGTGTTCTCATTAGAGGCGAGACCTAATTTTTCG